TTAAAAATAATAATAAATAAATTGGTTTTTTAAAACATTAATAAAAAGTAAAATGTTCCTTCGAATTTCTTACACCAACACAGGTCAGTTCACTGTCAAGAAAAATGTTAATTGGGTGAAGGTCTACTTGGGCTTGTAACCGTAAGGTCGTGGGTTCGAACCCTGTCAACGGCCCGTCGTCTTGTCCTAATGAAAGGCATTTTATACGTTAGTTTTAGTAGAGGTTTTAAGGCGCTCGCAACTGCATAAGGTCATTTGAGCGCCAGAAGATCAGAGGTGTTACAAGAGAGTAACAAACATAAAAAAGAAGAAGGGGGAGATAAGGACGATAGATGTTGGATAGGAAAGAAGAAGCACAGCACTCGCCAACCACCCACGCACTTCATACTTTACACGAATTTTCCTAACTTCATCCAGGTGGGTAGGGTACTCTGCTATAGACAGAGAAAGGTCTTGTCAATTTATTAACGTTTGAGCGTTTAATTAATTAATTTTTATTATACCGTTGTTATTATTATTATTATTATTGAAATCGCCATGATTTTAAACATAGCGTCATGGCCACCCTCAATGTTGGCCCGACAGAGAGTGAAGAACCTGAATGGGCGTAGTAGGGCAAGTAAGTTCTGAATGGAGACCTCAAGTAGACCCGTATCATCACTGGGCGCTTGCTGTGTCAACAGACTCGTCTTACAGTCCCAGAGTTCTACACGCACTACATGTATTACCTTCAGCACAGCTGTGGACTCTTCAAACTGATTACTTCTCAGCTTTCTAGAGAGTTCCCTGGACAAATATTGCGAAAGGGTTTCATAATACCCTCCCTCCCTCTCCCACCTGCCTAACAAAGTCGCGTTCATTGTCGAAGAAGAAGCGTGAAAATAACGGAGATAACTCATGGAAATACAGGTACCTCTTGTTTGACGGAACGTGCTGATTTCCCCTTTGATGTGAAACGAGAAACATATCGACACGATGATTCCCTCATTCATCTAGTGCTGTGAAGTGGTAAGACATACAAAAATAAAAGATGGAAGATAGAAAAGTAAAACCTACAGGGGTTCAAGGCTCAGCTCAGTCTCACGTTTTGTCCTTGGGAAACACACTTTACAATATAGGAATTTTACCATTTGGCTCGGTCCATTCGAAGATGTTTAGTTTTAATAAGTATAAGGTTTTTCATCGCTCACAACTGCATAAAATCAGAGACTAACGTTTAATCTAGAGGCACCGTCTCTTAAACAACCTTTACAGTGTTGCAAGGGAATTAAACATATACAATTATAAACATTTTAGTTTTCAGTTTTAATTTTAGCTTTAGTAAGTGTTTTACGGCACTTGCAACAAAATAAGGTCATATAAGTGCCGAAGATTAGAGTATTTAGTTTTAGTAGAGGTTTTTTGTTTTTGTATTTGTAAGAGTTTTACGGCGTTCGCAACTAACTGCATACGGTCATATGAGCACGGGAAGATTAGAAGTGTTACAAGAGAGTCACTAACATAAAAAAGTAGGAGGGGAGAAAAGGAAGATAGATGTTTGATAGGAAAGAAGAAGCAAACCACACCACAGCACCCGCCAACCACCCACCAAAGATTACAGGTGTTACAAGAGAGTAACAAACACAAAGAAGGAGGGGAGATAATGACAATAGACGATTGATAGGACAGAAGAAGCAAACCATGCCAGAGCACCCGCCAACCACCCACACATTTCATTTTGCACAAATATACTTACTACATGTATATAAGAAATATTACATTTCTAGAGAACAAAGTTAAGAAAACAAAGCACTGTACAGACATCCGATTGAGGTTACTATATGGTGGACCAATCGCCATTCAGTGCTGAAAGAAAAGCAAGAATGATAAACAGACACAACAATCGAGGGCAAAAAGTAGGACCAATCAGTGTCACCCTCTAACCATCTGCCTAAGGCCTTTCAAGAACAAGGAAGTAGGACAATAAAAAATCCCAATACAGAGCAGGAGAAGGAAAAGCGAATCATACTAGAAACGTTCATCTTTTGTTTTTGTTTTTGTAAAGTGTTTTACAGGGCTCGCAACTGCATAAGGTCATATGAGCGCGCGGGACACACCTAATATTTTCAGTTGGTAGGAAATTTTGAATTTTGCCAGGGTGGCAGTCGAAGCCTACTCTTATCGATTTTAGACCACCAAGGGATCTTTAACGTGCACAACTTGCACACGGGACCTCCGAGATTTTTCGCCCTTGTCCGAGAAGGCTAGGTGTAGATCTTTCCTACCAGAAGATCAGGGGTGTGGCAGAAAGATAGCAGTAAGGAGGAGCCAAGGGGTAGCAGTAAAAAGGCTGCAGAAAGAATCAGGGGCCCAGAGGAGGGGGCAAAGGAGGTGAGGGGTGGGGGCAGAAAGTGAAATTGAAAGCAGACAACAGAATATTGCTAGAGAGCAGGAAAGAAGGTGAAAGGAGACAATTTTAGAGAAGAAAATTTTTCGGTCGCTACCCGGATTCGAACCCAGGACCTTTTGAATGAAAGGCCAACACCTTAACCTCTAGGCCACGAGAGCCCCCACGTTCATCTTTGCCAACTAGACAAAAAGTTTACTTCAAGTGAAAAGAAACACATCAACACAATAATAACCATTTTGAGAAGACAAAAGGTAAGATAAAACACACAGAAGCCACAGTGGGAAAGAAAAGAAAGGAAGTTATAATTTGTGTTATGATTAAAGTTTTTAAAAAGTTAACAGAAACAACACCAAAAAAAAGTTTTCAGAACATAACTCTAAACATAACGAGAGTAGTATTTTATTCTGATATAATCTTGATATTCACAAACAAGTCAAGACCATCAAACATTCAGAAAAACTTCCAGTTTTCACTCAAGTTCTGGTAAACTAAGACAGGTCAGGAACAGATGGGACAACAGCAGCAAATTCAAGGAGAGCTACGGAGACAAAAACTAGCACGGAGCACACACTCACAGAACACACTTCCTCAAAAAAGAAAAAAAGAATGAAAAACCACTCCACAATCAGTTGAGATTCTAAAGAACAGACTTACTTGTCAAAAGTAAAAATCTACAATACCCCTGGACGTCTAAAAATAATGTAATATCAATAAGTACTTCCTGAAGTCATGGTTTACTCAAATAACACAAAAATACCATTAGCACAGAATCAACTCCAACATATTCAGAGCATATAGTAAAAAGTGATATGACTGAAAGTAAGTGTATGGGATTAATGCCTTTTTCAACACAACTGAGCTTTTTGAGAGGCAGGGTTTCCAAATCTAACATTCACCTCAGACTTAAGAAAAACATTACAAACAGAATCTGAAATGCATTTAAATACTGAACACACAAAAAAGGGACCAAAAAAGGTCACTAATAAAACTTTGAGGACATACATTTTCACAACGCTACACTGCACTGCAGGCTGCTCTTCCAAAATAATGCCTAGTATATTTTGCTGCTCATAACTGATGTGGTAAATAAATAACATTAACAATAATAGTGTTAAACAATCAAAGGAACATCTGAGATTCATCTCATCTCTCAACACGAGGGAAACGGAAGCAAAGAACATTCAACTCATTATGTCACAACACATCCAAGTCCCTATACTCACAAACAAAGAAATGTAAACTGTCTCTTGATGAATGTAAATCCCTGTAACTCTCAATATTAATATATATAGAATCAAATAAAGTCTCAGTCTAAAATATATGTCAAAAGACACACGAGTGATACAACAAGTTCCAGTGGTCCCCAGGAGTCACGGAAACACACTTGACGGATGAGATCATGATCCTCTCTAGACACTGTACCTTTCTTCTTATGCTAATTCAATATTATCTCTTTTGCAGCCCCCTTTTTTACTTATTATTGTTTGGAATGTCATGACTGTGATAAAATGATCTTTTACTACCGTTATTATTCCTGTATTCATTCATTGTTCCTGTTACAACCATTATCATAACTATCATTACTAACAGTATTATTACTTGTGATATTATTCTTATCATCATCATCATTGGTACCCAAATTATAATCATTATCATTATTATCATTACCATTATCTTCCTAGTCACAAAGCAAAACCTTGCCACATAAAATACTAATGTGATGAAGGGCATGAAGGAAAAAATTAATTATTTGCTATATGTGACAAATGAAAATTTTCAGAAAAAATAAACAAAAACATACAAAACGAATGCAGTAAAATAAAGTTTGAACAGTAAGTTTTTCGATCCTAAATAGAAATCTACGTGATATGCAATCCCAACACACAACAGTTATTGCTCTATGAAAGAATCACAAAAGATAGAAGGAACACTCTTCAATGGCACCAAAAATACCAACCACAAAAATAAATATGGTATTCAAAACAAATTAATACTTATTCAGTACTAAAAAGAAAACAAAGAAAGAGTAAAATGTCATGCTATAATTACTCCAAACTGTAAATACCTGGCAGTGCACTTATTTTTTCAGTAACAATATGGCACTGAGGAATCGACTGATACTGAAAACAGAATGCACCATATCATCCCTCTTCTTGTAATATGACTGGGTAACTCCAGCATAGTAAAGTTTACAGGTGGAGCAAAAAACTCATTAGGTTTCCTCATCCAGCAACCTAGTGTGAAAATATGAAATGGATAATTTGCAATCCATTTGTCAAATTTAGAAAATGTTTATATTTTGTGGGTTAACTAGTCTTATTGCAAGGGCGATGATATCTTGACAATTTAAAAAATCCCTGCAGCTGAAGTGAAAACATTTAGGTATCTTTTCTCAAAAGCATTCAATTAGGTAGTCCAAAAAATATCTTAGCACACAGGTATGGAATTGCACAGTTCCAGGAAAAAACCCCTTTCAACAGAAATCAACAAGATGAACTACTCAGAGAGGCGGGGCCTCCAATCCTAACAACCAAGTGGGAGCAGCAGAGTGAGAACTCCAAATACAACAAAACATTCAAGACAAGACAAACTGAACCAGGACTCACGGTGAAGTTATCCATAGCACAGCCATGCATGACACCAATACAGATACAACCCTTCACACATTGAAAACAATTTTAAAAATATATATATAATAATCACCAGTCAAATACAGATAGATTCCAATTTAATCATAGTACCCCACTGCATCAAAACAGTTGGCCAATGGTTTTATCTGCGAGTAGTGAAATATGAAAATAAAAAGTCTACTGCACCATCGTAACATAATTATTTAATTGTGCTTCTGTTACTGTAATTGTCCACAACTCACTAACAAAACCGTGAGCTATTCGTCTTTCTCGCAGTACGGTACTACTATAACAGATCAAACAATGAGCCAGTTCGAAAGAATTCAGTCAGGAGTCATATGAGTGGACGTGTAGCTCACATGTCGGTAGAACAACAGCCACATTCCTCAGCACAACAAACTAAGGTTCTGATAACAGTTAAGAAAAGGAGTAGTAGTAGACTACATAGGAAGCACAAGAAAGAGACATGATATTGTACATCTTTTGAAAGAAAAGTGGAGCAAAGAAGGGAGGTCATACTTGGTTTAGATTTGGTATTTCTGAGAGAATGGTCGTGCAGTAGTTAAGTCATAAACCCAGAACCGTCACAATCTTCATTGCAAAGATGCTAAAACACACAGATGCTATAAGACTCTGGTTATCAAAAAACCAAAAAAACTCCTCACACTTTTTCTTAGCTCACAAACTACAGAGCTCACATGGATCAGCCCAACAACAACATGAGGTACATTCACTCCTCAGGCTACTCCTGCTCTTGCAGAGTTTCCTTGTCAAAGGTGTACTCTCCCAGGCCTGACCCCGCTCTGGTCAGTTGTGTCACAAAGTCCGAGATCTCACGGATCGACTCCACTTGTTCCTTCAAGAACTCACCCTCCAAGAAGTCTCCCAGCTGCGTTCAAGACACAAAAAAAAAAAACAACAACAAATATTTAACACTTTCATTATTTATTATTAAAATTTTTAAAAAGGGGGGGGGTTGTTAAAATGACACTTTAACCAGAGTATCAAAACATTTCTGGATAGAATAAAGACAACAAAACCTTGAAACTTTACAGTGTCAACTCATTTGCATAATTTGACATATTATGTCAGAAATATTTTTTAAAAAGGAAAAATGTTTTTGGTATATATTTTGTAGAATTTTACGTTCCTTGACATAAATTAGAAATTAAATCAATTTCACTAAATACAATTTTTTTTTTCCTTCTTTGCCTAAGTTAAGATAAGAATAAAAAATTTTTTAATTTTTAGATACCCAGGAAGCAGGTCATGTACACATATGAGATCATACACAAATAATTTTAGTATCGAATCAAAGTCCACTCAATAACCTTTCTATTGATAACATTTATTGAATGGACCTTCACAGGAATTTATAGTATTTCTTTTCTTACGTCCACCCTCTTTACCTTAAAAAACAGTCCAAAACTCAAGAACAGTTAATTAAGAGTTAATCAGGTAAGCATTTCATTTTCGTCATATAGGCTACAATGGCTGTAACTCCTTTATTTTGTGAAAAAGTCAATTGAAATTTTATCACAGGAATAGTTAGGCAGAGAAACATTACAAACTCTGTGACTGAGAAATTTGTCTTAATTGTAATAATTATCATAATAATAAAAATAGCATTTACGAGTATATAATGCATATCAAGCTCTACAGCATTCTCTATGCACTTTACAACTTAAAGAACCCAAAAAGACCATTTCAAACTACATATCTTTTATAATTATAGTTCAAGTTTAACAGCTGCCTTCACCATTACAATCAGAATTGTTCAACCATTTCATAGCAAAAGCCTTGGATCTGAAAATAGAAAAACTTGCTCTGAAAACAGACCCATAATGCTTATGGGCTACAAAATTCATGAGATCTCTATACAACTCTCTCAAAGACTGACATGTAAAAGCCTACATACTTGAACATCATTTTTGCTGTCAGCAATCTTATGCAGGTCAAGCAGTGATTGGTTCACACTTTTTTCCAGCTTCAGAGCAGACGTCATTGCATCCAAACCAGTGCCCCATTCATCCAAGTCAGGTTTCTGCAAAGTTTACAAAAACATTGAATCAAACAAACACTTACGACCGGTCTACTCAGTGCGCACTGCCATTTGGGTTCAGTCGAAAAGAGTCAGAGCCACCCAGATTTTCCTCCATGGAGTGGCAAAACCTACCATTTTGGCACAATACGACTGATTTGATTTGTGACCTTGAAAAACAAAAGCAAACGCATTTGATCTTAAAGGTCATAACTGAACTTAGATCTAGTTTAGTTCGGTCAAATTGCACTAAAATGGTAGCTTTTGCTCCTCCATCAAGAAAGATCTGGCAAGCCCCAACTCAATCAAGTGAATTCAGTTGGCAGTGTGCAGTAAGTATAAAAGACTACATAACATTTTTTCTACAATAAAATCTGGACCATTTTAAGATCCTTGAACACTGAAACTTATTAGAGAGCAGTATGAAGGTTGTGATTCTATCCATAACCTAGCAGAAGCACAAACTCACCATGTCTATAAAAAAGTAAGCCCTACTTTATTTTATTAAGTCCTGATAACGAATAACACTTACCAGAATTATCATACTACAACGACACTTTCTAGTACTAAACTAAGTACAGTATAACCCACTTATATCAACGTCCGATTTATCGACATATTTTACAATTACGAAATTTTTCCTTCAATATCTTCACTGAACAATTTCTCTTCTATCGACTTTCTTTCGGTCCACTCTGCTTTATCGACATGCTTTCTGGGTGCCTGGTGAAGCCCACGAACATAAATGGGGGGAAAAGCCACGCTTACGGTCAACACATTAGTTCTTCAGTAAGTCCGCATACTCATCAAGTAGCCTATATCGACACACAAGGCTTTAGTAGGTCGTGTAGGGCCTACACAGTGAAAAATGGTGAAATGGTATGGGTTTAACGCCCCTATCAACACTATTAGGTTATTTAAGGGGCGGGGCCTCCTAGTTTAACGTCCGTCTCTGATAGGACCGAGCCAAGTAGGAAGTTCGTGTAAAGTGCCTTTCCCAAGGTCGGACCGAGCTGAGGCTCGAACCCCCGAACCCGCAATCTCACGATTAGGTCTACACAGAGTAGTCTCCAACACAGTACAGTGCCTCACAGACGTACGTGAGCGTCTCGCACACTGGGCATCATCCCCCTACCCCCACTCCCGATCGCCCACTCCCCTTCCCCATCCCATTTTCAGTCTGTCGCTGGCAAGTGCCACGGTCAGTGAGTCGGTGCCACGGTCAGTGAGTCGGTGCCACGGTCAGTGAGTCGGTGCCTCGCCTTTCCATTTTCTCCACCAAACGGCCATAAACAGGCCTTACAAGGATGCTACAACAAAGTTTGCCTTGGTGAGCAGCGTGCGCCTCGGGCTGCTCAGTCTTTGGTACCATCACTCCAACCCACCCCCACTTTTCCCCTCTGCCTCTTATTAGCTTCAAGAATCAAGGGAAGCAACCAGCTTTAAAAAGTAATGTTGTCTTTTACTGCTGACCTCCCCTTGTCTTTTCCTCTTTGGCTTTATATTTTCATTTATCGACATTTTTAAATATTGACATCAAATCCACTTTCCAAAGCATGTCGATATGGATTATACTGTACATTAACGCTAGAAAATAGACAAAGCACATCTGAACAAGAATAGGGCCTACATTGCAAAAAATGGTTCTTTTCCATTTGTAGAGTCTATAAAAGATATTAACTTTAGCTGAACAAAAGTTTTTGCTGTTTTGAAGAAAAGAGCAACATGTTTAGTGAGAGGAGTAAAGAAGAAGGAAGAAAGATGCAAAGAAGGCAGAGGGCAGAGATAAAACACTGCAGAACACACAATGTTTAGATTTGATCAGAGACGTTACAATTTACTACTACTCAATCATGATAACTATTGCACCATCTACAGGAAGGAGGACGTTGGAGGGCGGGGGTTGAAACTATTTATTTGTACATAATAACATAAATCAGCAGTCCATTAAGCAGCCAGTCAGCAGAAGAGTATCACGACTACATTAATTTATCCTTGACGGAATATTTTACTTGTTTAGAACAGGGACCACAAATGCCGGAACTCTGAAAAAAAACCCAACAATCTTTGACAAGGTAGAATGTTGAACTTTATCATTATATGTAAACGTTACAGTCCCCCTCAAGAAACTGCATTACGAATCTTTCATTATATATATATGTATATATATACATCAGGTCAATGTTACATCCTTTCATTACCTTGATATCCTGGAGTAGAATTCTCCCCCCTCTCATATTCTGGTACTTCATCAGTTTCTCAGCATGCTCCCGCTCTTCGTCAGACTGTTTCTTGAAGAACTTGTGGAAACCTGGCAGAGCTACATCATCTCTGTCAAAGTGAAAAGCCTGTGGGAAAGATGAATTCAAATTTATGAAAACCCTGAAACAAAGCTTAATTTAAAAAACACTGAACATCAACAGCTTTCAGCTTTCAGCTTTTCAAACTTGACATAAAAATTAGCATGTTAATAAATATCTTCCAAAGTCTTTGCTGAAAGAGGGAGGACAATGATCACTGACAAGAGTGAAAATTCTCAAACAGTGTAGAACAGCGAACAGTTACCCGTAGTGCCTCAGCGAAACAAAGTTACAAGTTGGGATGGTTGCCAAGCACTAGGATGTTGTGGGCTAAGATTTATTTGTACTCAGAAACTGAACTGACTGAACTGTTACCTTAATAAGAATCAAGTAAGCAGCAGACTGAGTAATCATCATCATCATCATCATCAATGCCTTTCACCCCTGGCAGGGTATAGGCCACATACAAGCTCCTTCCATTTATCTCTGTCCTGAGCCATCCCTCCAAGCTCGTTCCAAGTGAGCTTCATCTCTCTCATGTCCCTTTTCACGCATCTCCTCCATGTTTCCAGTGGCCTACCCCTGCCTCGTGCTCTTTGTGGGTTCCACTGCAGTGACTGTCTTGTGATGTTTCCGCTGGGCTTTCTTAAGGAGTGTCCCATCCATCGCCACTTTATTAGTCCTATTTCTACTTCTATTATATTCTTTTGTCCTGTCCTTTCCCATAGCTCTTCATTTCTTATTCTATCCTGCCACTTAATTCTTAGAATACTCCATTACGCTAGCCTCTGGTGGCTTTTTTCATGACCCAGTCAATTGTCATTATGAAGAGAAAAGATGAGAGCAAGCATCCTTGTCGCACTCCTGTCTGTACCTGGAATGGTTCTGAGAGTAGTCCTTCGTGGAAGACTTGGCAGTTTGTTCCATCATAGGTGGCCTTCAAAAGCTTGATGATTTTGTCAAGACTGAGTAATATAAAACAGGAATTTATGGGGGCAGGAAGGAGGGGGTGGGAAAGGCAGGGAGGTGGCTTCTCTGCCTTTGAATATTCATCATCATTATGTTTGTCGCTACCGCTATCAGTCCTGAGGTTAACTTTACAGACAAGTTTCACTTTCAATCTCGAGGGAATGACTTCAGGACTTGGGCCTACAGGTTACAGGCAAAGATTTACTCTAACTGA